ACGGCTGAAAGAGCGAGCATGTTTGGTGGGACGGGGATTCGAACCCGCGACCTTCAGATTGCGAGTCGAGCGTCCTAACCACCTGGCCATGCCGGGCCAAAACACCCTGTTATTAACACGTGTGAGTGTTTATGTCATGGGATTAAATTCCTATTTAATTCAGTAAGCTTTAATGGTTTTTATTTGTTTCTTTGTACTTAAACACAAATCTACGCGATGGGCTATCTGTGCTGTGCCCACCATGGGTATCGAAACCCGGTTTTTTAACGTTATAAGCCTGCAGACATACCGCTGTGCTACTAGGGTGTTTGCAGTAGCAGAAATATGTTTGATCTGTTTCTTTCGAATATTCTCACAAAGTTATAGAAGGGCTATCTGCATTAGCCATCCCTGAATAGCTATTCATTAGTACTCCCCGCCAACCCTTGGACCACTCTAACCGAATAGTAGGATTTAATTGTTATTCTTATAACACACCCAAGGCTCCAAAGTATAGAGCGCAATTTTGTGGCAATGGTACGTGAACCAGGAATCCATGGAATTACTGCTCGGCTCGTTAACCACTAAGCCATGCCCGGTCCAACAGAAATATAAACTCCATTATAAAAACTTTCACTTCACGTATATTTTACAAATAAATGATTTTTGTGAATGTAAATCTAAAAACAAGTGATATTTGTATTACACTAATTTGTAAAATAAAACACTTATTGAAACCTACCTCCACGTTTTTCATTTCTTTCTTCATTAGTTTCTTCACTAACCCCTTTATGTCTCTTAGACTTTCGTATAAACCCGTTTGCAATCAAGCTGTAGGCAGTGTCCAGAACAGTTTGCGTGAGATCGCGGGGTGTGATGCCTAATACTTCTAACATCTGGCATATCAGGAAAGAAAAATGATCATTGAAATACAGTGATTTTAACTGAATATTAACGTTTTATACACGCAGCAATTATTGAAAATTAATTATAAACCCAAGATGATAATCCAAAGGATGCGAATACATTTGGAAATGCTGGATGGGCCATTTTACAACCATTTCACTTTTTTACAAACCATTACTGAAGCTGTTGTGAGGAGAGAAAATCCACTGTACACCTTAAATAAAAGCCCAGAGAATATAGCTTTTGGGTGGTTTTTGTTAATTTATATTTTTTATTTAACTTTATTACAACGTTTCGACCACTCGTGTGCCCATCATCAGGTAACTGTCGTTTTTTGTGTGATACATTATGCAAGCATTTTATTCCAATTTAGAAAAGAATATAGGGTGACTCTTGTGTTTTCATTTAAATTAAGTTTTAGTTCACGAAT